AAAATATGGCAACATATGTTTGTACCTAATCACCTTGAGTTCTTTTTAAGCGTAGGTTGGCTTTTTTGAAACTAAAAGTTCATCGTGTGAAGTTCAGGCAGCATATTTCATGAAATGGTCAACTCTCGCCAATAAAGTAAATAATGTGCCAGGTGCTACCGCGAAGAAAGACGGGAAGCAGTGGAAGTCTGTACGTATTGCCTCTCAATCGCAATAACTTAGTTCACTCATATAGTTTGGGATGTTAATGCTGAAATTCTTTATTGGCCTGGAACGGGTTGAAAGGGAGAGCCAGAGCAGCATATCGCAAGGTGGTCAGGCCTTACATCGAGGGAGGGGATCCGGTGCCTGAACTAGGAGATATTCACCTGTCCAACAAGTTCCACAAAAGAGTTCTGCAGATGGTTGGCACCGAGGGAGCCTTAGCCTCCCTCAAAGTACCACAGGTGCAGCAACTAATGATTCGTGCTAATGATGTATTAGGATTTTGCTCGTTTCCAATGTTTAACACACTATCATTTCCAGAATGACAACAATGACCGTGACGACGCTCATCAGGAGCAAGGGGCTCAGGGTGACGACGCTCATCAGGAGCAAGGGGCTCAGGCTGACATTATTGGAATTCCTGATGCTGACGATTTGCTGGATTTTATTGTGTACGAGGATGAAGTGGGCAATCCTCAGGTACAGTCCTGTGGGTGTTGACATGCTAGCATTAACAGCTCAAAGTATGCAGCAGTTGTGGTGATTTGTTTGTTTTTGTTAACTTTTGCAGGTGTTTGATGAGGCCGTGGGAGGAGAAGGAGTTATTGAAATCAAGGCTCCAGTTAGCCCTCAGCAGGTATGGCATAGTGCAAAGGGTTCTGGTACTGTATATTGGTATTGAGTTGTATGTGTGCCATGTCAGTAATGAGATACTTTTTCTTTCCTTCCTTTGTTTGTGTAGAATCCCCCGGCGAAGGACCTCTCCATAATTGATCTCACAGCGTTGGAGGAGAATGACTGGGGTACAGCCCTGGCTGCCTGGGCAGGCCCAAGCAAAATCAAGTTTGAAAAGACAGATGAAAACTTCCTTTCGGTGCCCAATGCAAGTGCAAGTGAAAGTTGGACATGCCCAAGCAAAGTCAAGCAGGAGGAGGCAGACGACAACTCTCCATCTGTGCCCAATAATGTAAGTGTAGATAGTTAGTGAAAGTCGACAGCTACTTTGTCCTTCCTTCACGCAACTATATTTTCCTTTTTCTATTTCAGGTTTCTCACGAGTTCAAGGTGTTGCACACCCCACCCAGGGATTCGGGGCTGACCCCTTCTGCAAAGAAGGCTAACCAGTCAACACCTGAAATTATCACCCTAACTGATGTAAGTGACTTTTATAGAAGTTAGTTGTGAGCACCTAACATTGCCGTAAATGTTGGTCTGACATATATCTCTTCTTTCTAATTTCAGACTCCACAAATGCCTGAGAGAGCACGCACGTTCAGGAGGAGGCTACAACCTGAGGGTCTTCAGGATGATCACAATATTGGTAAGATATTTTTTCTTTACCCCTTTTTACTTGTGGCCATTAGGCTGAATGCTGTATTTCTCTGCTCTAATACTTTCTGTTTTACAGGTGACAGCCCACAGATGGTGGCGCTCCAGAAGGTTCAGGAGGCTATTGAAGAGAACACACGTGTTCTTCATTGCCTCTTGAAATCTCTGCAACAGTTAACTACTTGATTTTTGTGTTAAACCTCTCATGCTAGACTTTCGGTGCTCATTGATATGCAAGCTTTATATTTGTTTTTTATTGAATGTTTGTATTTTTTTATTTCTAATTGTCACAAGGACAATGTTTATTTTGTTTTTATCTTATTACTTTCAAGTACTAAACTATGCTTGATTTTTTTGTCTTTTGGTTGTTTAGTTAACTGAACATTTCAGAAAGACTGATGCTATTTTTAATTATCAATAAGTCTACTTGTTTTCTTTTCATTCAGTTTAGGTTTTTTTTTCTTGATCTCATGTCAAAAGAGCACTTTAGTGCTGCATGTTACTTGAAGACTTTGGTCCAGAAGTAGAATATTTTTTGTTTTTTGAAAAGAACCTCAATTAATGTTTTAAGAGCATTTGTAACTTTTGACCACAGACTTGCTGTGTACTTTCTTTACCTCGTATGTTCTGTTCATGTTCTGTCAAAGGAATAAATGGAAACATTATCTTAACCTTTTTTTTTCTTATCACATTTTTCATGAGATGAGAACACTGAGTTTGGCCATGTTCATGAGCCCATTTTTCAAGATATCTGAAAGCTTTTTAATTTGCCTGAATCTTGCTTTCCTCATTGCCTTGTTGCCTTATTGGTGGCTCTGAAAAGATTACTTTGACTATTTCAATTTCATTCAAGCTGATGGACTTGTAATAAGTATGGGGCCCATTTAATGTTTCAGAGTACCATTATTTTGGAGACCGACCACAAGATGCCGTGCTAGAGCATAGACGGAGATTGAATTTACAACTTCATGAGCGATACCTCATTCGTGATAACAATAATCCATTCAATATGTCAACTACTGAATTTACTTAATTATACAGAATGTCTCAACACGACATTGTTGCCTTGTGTGACATTCTCAGGCACTATGTTCAACGACGTACCAGTCTTCAACAGACGTCACTTCTCAGAAAGGTATCTACATACTGTATACTGTTCCTTTCAATTCTTTTCTACATGCTGAACATTTGTTGATTATTTGCAGATATTGATAACCCTCTCATTCTACGCATGTGGATCTTATCAGAGGATGTTGGGCCGATCCATTGACGCTGCTGTGAGTCAAACAACAGTTAGCAGAATCATCAAAGAAATAACTGGTGCTTTCAATCACCCGAATGTCCTAACTCGATTTATCAAGTTTCCTTTAACACGCCAGGAACGAGCAGCAGTGATACAGAGGTACAATGGTAGAAATGTTGAATATGAAGCAAAATCAGATTGTGCTGGTGTTAGTATTATTGGCTGAGCTTGCGAAGCCTTTGCTGTGATGTGGGGTGCAGAGAACTCTTTGGTCGTGGGTCTGTCTGTCTGTCTGTCTGTCTGTACTGGCCCACGTTTCTCTCAGACGGTAACTTCAACTGACTTCAAACTGCGCACGAAGCTTCAGTATAAGACGAGACGTAATGAGTTTAGTTTAGAAGTTTGATATTAGATGTTTGAAATAAACGATCGTTTAATTTGAATTCGTTGTTTGGTGGCGGTAGGTTGGTAGCACGGCGCTCGATGGGAGGGGGAGCGTAAGTGGCTCCTTGCGCTCACCTGAAGACTTTGATACCTTCTCAGCAGTTATTAAAATGTCAGATAGTCAAACCGAGTGTTTTAGTTTTAGTTTTAGAGTTGTAGAACTTAGCCTGCGAAGTTTCGCGAGTGTCCGATGAGAAGGAACGAAAGTGATATTTGGAATGGTTTACGTGTTTACTTACGTAAGTTGGAGGGGGGTGGTGGGAGAAATGTGCAAAGGTAACTATGGTTTCGGGTTCATCTTGACAAAAGAAAACGAAAATGTTTTATGCTCCAAGACGATCGGAATCGAAATGGCAGAGTTATGTTCAAATGTTCAATAAAGTGTTCAATCGCCCCTAGCGGCCAAACGGTGCGTCGGAGGTCAATTCTGACGGCAGTTTTCGCCCGTAACCCGAGGGGTTAACGGGTCGCATCTCGTCAAGACGATCAAAACGCATCCCTCGAATGTTCAATTTGGACCAATTTGGCCATGGTAGTACGCCCATCGTTATTTGAGGGCTAATAACTTCTCCATTTCGACTCAGATCGGCTCGGAGCATGAGACATTTCCTTTTTAATTTTACAAGAGGAATCTTAATCTGGGATAACATTTTAAATTTGATAACTTTTTAAAAATCCAGATACTTCATTGGAAGACAAAATAATGGTATTCACTCGTAGAATGACTAGAAGTCATTTCATCGTACAAAAAGACATCTTAAAGGTTTCTTAAACTTACAACTTATTTTCTTAACAGCAATGTACTTGCAAGGGACCGAACAATATAAGAGCCACAGTTGCAACTTAGTGTAGGATAAGCCGTTCAAAAGCAGAACGAGATATATGATTCTCTTACTTTGACTAGATTTTTCTAGAGCCATATTATTTCTAATGATACTGAAATAAAATGGTGAGAGAATTTGAATTACATTCTATGATAAGATATATTACAGAACTTTCAATTAATAAACTACAATGACTCGTTATCTTCAAAACGCCTCAGA